CACTTCCTTCAGGTAGGCAGATGGGAGGGGGGCTGCGACTGGTGTGTAAATGCACCTCTTGGAGCCCAAAGGGTGGGACAGAGTGAGCAGGGACAAGGGAGAATGCAGTGATAAAGCACCCAAAACTTGGGTTCTTATGCCGCAGCTGCAGAAAGTTGTGCCAGCAGTGGTGTGACAGGATGCGGATCACTGAGTGGGTGTTTGTGTGTGTGTGTGTGTGTGTGTGTGTCCCTATGCATGGGCGTGTGCATGTATGGGGGAGTGGGTGGGTGGCGAGGCCCAGGGAGGGGGCTGGCTGTCAGTTCTGCAAGGAGCGCAGTGATGGGGTGCACTCCTTTGGGCTGTGATCTCTGGGAGTGCTGGAAGGTCTGATTGGCAGTTTATGCAGAGCCGAGAGGCAGGTCCTCAGACTCTAACTTTCGCCTTGCTGTGGTGCCAGGTGCATGCCTCCGCGGAGAAGGGGGCCGGGGTCTGGCCTGTTGGACCGTGAGGGGTGCCCGGGTGGGGCCTAATCTGCCGGGGGTGGGTGGGTTTGCAGTTCGGAGCACACACACGAGCCCTGGCTCCATGTGGCGGGGTGGGGGTTCCTAATTGGTGGTTCTGCGCAGAGCGCCGAGGCAGGCGGGCTCAGCCTCCGCCATGCACCTAGCTGCTTTGTGGAACGAGTCTGGCCGAGCGGGTACGCGAGCACCTTACCTGAAACTCCGGGTGTCCATACGGAGCCCTGGCTATGGATGGGAGTCCACCTCTGAGTCCAAGAGATGCTCTGAGTGCTCTTGAGAATCGAACAGACAAATTTGGTACCCCTACTCCGCCCCCAACTCTCCCCACTCGCCAATCTCCTCGGAGCTCCGGGCGTGAGCTACCTAATAGTCGGCCATCTTCCCTCCTCCCCTGCATTCAGATTTTCATTGAACCAAGGACACACTCTCCCTGCTAAGAGTACCAGAATGTGGCTACTGCTGTAGTACTTTAAGTAGGTACACGTGAATGTGCTTGTGTTTCATCAGTGAATGCAAGTGTTCTTTGAGAGGTCTTTCTATACCATATTTTTTATTCTGCATTTGTGCATATTTCATTAGATATGCAAAGAGATCTGTGACCTTAAAATGATTTAAAATCTCTGTTAGAGACAGAAGCATCATAAGGTGATGCTACTTGCCTAAACACATTCTTTAAACTAATGGCAGGATTTGAATTTGAGCCAACTGTGGGAAAATGCATAATTGTGCCTTTTATGTTTCTTCAACACTAATTGTTTATGGAACAACAGTCACTAGATGGCACAAAAGGCTACAAGCACAGCTGCTAACTAAAAGACTTGTGTTTGAAGTCCACCTCAGAGGTGCCTCAATAGAAAGCGTTGTGATTTACTTTCAAAAAATGAGCCATGGAAAACCTATGGAGTAGTTTCATGCTGACACACATTGGGTTGACATGAGCAACTGGTGGTTTATGGAACATTTACTAGACCCCATTATCAAGTCTGATACAGATACGCAAAGACCTCTAAAACTTAGCAACTGCTTTCAAAGAACTTCATAATCCAGTATGGAAAATAAAGGCAGTTAGTGAGACAGAAAGGTAACAATACAATGTATGACAATATATTTGGGTGTTATATAGAGGAAGTAGTTTTATAATTAGACAGTGGTATGGAGAGTGTTGCAGGTTCAAATAAATGACCACCACTATAATGTCTTGAAATTTAGTAGTCTTTTATTCGGTTTTAACCAGACAGTGATAATCTGAAAACGACTCCTTGATTGCAGTCACGAGTGAATACTTCAATCCAACTTTAAAGGCAAAAACTCACTTATCATTTGTCTAGGACTTCTGTCTGTGTCCTATGTACATGGACAGAAGCAAAAGCAAAATTAATGTTATTATTCTTTAGAGTTAATGAGCATTATAGGATACAGCATTGATTATAACATCCTGGTTAATAAAATAAAATAAATATCCTGGTTATCGCATCAAAAGGAACACAATTATTAATTAGAATGTTTTGATCTCGAGAACGTAAGAATACATTCTAAAATAAATCACTAGTGGGACATTCTGAGATGGGAGGGGGAAAGAGGCAGGTCATTCAGTAGTCAACAAGATGGCGTTACAATGGCTAGTGCTACTTTGTCTCAGACAAGTTAGATTGGGTCTTCTGGAGTAATTGTTATTTAAGTTAGAATTTAGAACATAACTATGGAAGGCACGTTGTGTGTGGGGTAGTGAGGATAAATGACCAAACTGTAGCTAGGAAGATAAAGTAAAGAAACCAGCAATTACTACGTTCTAGATAGACACCGATTGTGCAAGACCCTACCATGGAAGTTTGATAATTTATCCAAAGTTGATATAATTATCCCTGCTGTAATTTTCAGTAACTGAGTATAGCCCCAAACCATTCAAATAACTGGTCAGTGGGCCAAACAGTATTTGGAAAGAACTCCAAAAGAGTTCCTTTTTTTCTCCAGTAAATGCCATTGTATACTGACTGCTGAGTATAGAGGAACCCGAGAGCTTGTAGGAAAATTTACAGATTTATTTCATAATCATAGAAAATATCTACAGCTGTTGTTAGGCACCATCAAGTCAGTTCTGACTTATAGCGACCCTATGTACAACAGAATTAAATACTGCCCAGTCCTGAGACATCCTCGCAACTGGCCCCATATTTGAGCCCATTATTGCAACCACTATACCAATCTATCTTGTTGATGGCTTTCTTCCTTTTTGCTGCCTCTATATTTTGCTATGTATGGTATTCTTCTCCAGTGACTGGTCTCTCTTGACAACTTGTCCAAAATCGGTGAGGTGAAGTCTCATCATTCTTGCTTCTAAGAAATATTCTCCTTGTATTTCTTCCAATGCAGATTTGTTTGTTCTTTTGGCAGTCCATGGTACTTTCAATATTCTTCACCAGTACCATAATTCAAATATCTACATTTAGCCAGGGTAAATATTTGGAGATTTCCTTTACATACACCATTCTATATATACCTTTAAATTTCTGTTTTTATTACTCATGTACTTGGATAAGAGAATTTATGGAAATAAATTGTGTAAAATACTTAATATAGTGTTTATAAGTAATATTCTTTCAGTGAATTATAACTATCATCATCATATTCATTGGTGTGTCTCTGCCTTTGTATCTGTGTCTGTTTTTAGAAAATATTGCAACAACATGTCATTCAGTATTTCAGAGTATGTGTGCTTCCTCCCAAATATGGCTGCCACTATGGGCATATTATTTGTGTATTTGCATGGTCGTATTCAAGTATGCTTTGTTGAAAGGCTGTCTAGCATGGCAATTAAGAGCACAGATTCTGCAGCCATATTGCCTGGGTTCAAGTTCCAACTATACTAATTGCTAACAAGTGACCATGATAAAATTACTTTAAACCTTTGTTCTGTATTTTCTTCTTTTGCGATCTAGAGATAATAATAGCATCTGATTGTTAGGGTTATTGTTAGGAATGCAATGATCATTCAATAAATATTGATTTATTAGTGTTACCAAGGATCTCTGACACAATGTGGTCCCATGTATAGGTAAAAATGTATGCATCCCTATAAGATTGAAGGCCTGCTTGTGTGTATGTATGTATAAGTATAATACATAATATATGGATAATGGTATCAGTGTTTCAGAGTTTTATGGGGGTGTTGTATGGTATGACTGTGTGCTTTATTCCATCTCCAAGAAATCTAACTTCCTGGTTGAACTGGAATTAGAGGGTAGAAACGTGGGCTTGCTTCTGATTCAGGATTGGGCCTGTGAAATGGGTTTCTCACAGCCTTGGTGTGGACAAAGAATCTTTCTTCTGAGAAATTAGAAACAGTTTCCTCACATATTCTTATTTGGTTTTGTTTCATTTTTTCTTTTGAAGTATAATACTCACACCCTAAAGCTATTTTCAGAAATTGAACATATCTGTCACCAATGCCCTCCACTGCCCTCAAGTGAAAACACTATCCTGACCTCTAACATAATAAATGAGTTTTACTTGACTTTATACTTTACATAAATGAAATACATAATATAATTATTTTGTGTGTGTATGTTTCTGTGCATTTTTCCTGCAACATTATGTTTGAGAGTCATCTATATTGTCATGTGTAGTTGGGATTTTCCATTATCGTTGCTATGGAGAATTCCATTGCCCAAATGAAATGCAATTTTAAAAATTGTTGTGTTCATGGAGATAAGATACATTTCTACTTTGTGTTTGTGAGCATTCTAATTACTTTTGGTGAATTCTCATTTGTTTTAAACCACAATTAACTGGAAATAGGAAGTGATAACAATGAATCTCCCCCTTTTCAGACTATAAACAGAAGTATAGGAACAACTTGTGACTTGTTTCAGACAATGAGTAAGTTTATGGCTTCATCAGGGTTCTGGTATCTGTTTCCTGGTTCATGGGCCAAAGAACAGTCATAAGTTTCAGCTCAAAAGAGATTTAAATGTATAAAGAGCTTTATATCAAAATGTGATTATATATCAAGAAAACATCCCAGCCCAGTCACCTCAAGTCCATAAGTTTGCTATTAGTCCATAAATCCCTCTTCAGACTCATGCAGCCACATGCAATGATGCAGAATGCAGGACGATTACAGGCTGGTGGGTGCAAAGTTGTGCGGACACAATCATGGTGGCTTTGGCAGCTCCTCAGCAGAAAGGTGAAGGCAGAGAAGGTGGGGGGCAGTTAGGTACCCAGAGCCCTCCTTATGAGAAGGACACACCCACAGGGACACACCATCAGGCTGTGACATGATTGACAAGTTGAATACCACCCCTACACTTTTATAAATGTTCAAGTTGACATGAAAATTATGTAACTACCACAGTAGAGAATCTTGGCTAGTTGATTTCTATTTTCTCAGTCACTTTGTTTGGTTATTTTCTGATTCTTCTGTCCTTAGTTTTCCAGACACATACAAAGCCTCTCTTTTATCCAGACCAGCAGATATCAATTTAACTGTTTGCCAAAGTAATGTGGACCATGGACCCTGGACATTTTCTCTGTGCCCTGCTATTTATACATCCACTGTGGCCTCAACTGACTGATGGGGCTACTCGAGTCTACTATCTTGGCATCCAGGATGTTCAATGGAACTATGCTCCGAAAGGAAGAAATATAATCAAGAACCAGCCTCTAGACAATGACACGTAGGTATTATCTCTTGTCATATTAGAACTTTAATTGTGGGAGAGGACATTCTGTTGAGGACAGGAAGTACCTTCTTGAGGGCCCTTTCTCAAGGTATAATAGCAGACAGTTTTTGAGCTCTTTGGATCCTCTACCCAGTGACAGGTTTCCTAAGGAAAGGGTTGATTGACTCAGGAGCCATTATCCCATTTTTGGTTACTCTTCCACACTGCTGTGCCTCAGTATACTAATGCCCCTAATATATTACAATTCAATATTCCCTTGATTCTAAAATAAAATCCACATTTCTGGTTTAATAACAATTGTTTGGCTTAAAAAAGGAACTATCCAAACAAACGCAGTGTCATTGAGTCAATGCTGACTCATAGCACGCCCCATGTGGGTTTCCAAGACTGTAATTGTTTACAGTAGTAGAAAGCCTAGTCTTTCTCCTGGAGCTGCTTGTGTTTTTGAACTGTTGACCATATGAATCATAGCCCAGTGAGTATAAAAAGGAAAGAAACAAAAATAGATACTTTTTGTGACTTTCATAGTTATTTCTAATACATGTAAGTATGAAATTAAAAGGTGAGCCTCGGAATCAAGGAAATAGCAGTAATAGTTACCATTTATATAACACTGTGGTAGGTACAATACTAAAAATTAAAATACTTTGTAGTTTTTCTTTGAAAAACTATAGGACGTGAGTTTCTTTATTTTATGGAAAAGAAAGCTGAGCCTCAGGGAGGTCAAGTGACTTTTCCAAATAACACAGCTATTAAATGAATATTCAATAGGATTTAAATCTAGGTAATGTAGATTACCCAGATGTAGGTAATGCAGGGTAATGTAGACCTAATGTAGGTCCCAGGTTAGTACAAATATTTTGTGTTTGATTATGAATATAAAGATTGGTTGTTCAAACCCACCCTGCAGCACCATGGAAGAAAGGCCTGGAAATTTGTTTATGTAAAAATTAGAACCAAGAAAATCTTTTGAAGCCGTTGTACTTCGTAGTGCCTATAGTGACCATTTTGCAGAAATTTTCAATGTAATGCAAAATATCCTTCTGGGAAAGCTAAATAACCCCCCATATCCAATGATTTGAAGTGATAATTACTATTTATTGATCTTATGCTATGTGCTGAAAACTGTTCTAAGCATTTTATGTATTTTAATTCATTAAGTCTCTATTAGCAACTGTCTGGGCTAGGTAATGTAATTATCTTCATTCTACAGATTAGGAAACTGCATAGAGAATTTAAATAACTTGTTCAAAATCCTGATAGTTCATAAATGGCAGTGTTTATACATAGTTCAAGCAGCATGGCTCTATACTTAACCACTGCATTATACGACCTTTCATGTATAGCACAATGATACTAAATAGACCACATCAATTGGGAATTGATAAGTTAAAGCTGCTCTCCACAGTTAATCACCATCCCATTACTATTTATTAAGTTGAACTATGTAAAATTAGCCCCCTTTTGTATAGATTATAATCGACCAAATATGAACAAACTCATATGCTTCAACATACTGCATCCCCTGACCTCTAACCTAAAGCTTTCATGTTTTTATTAATACAAACTCATGTTTTGATCAATATAAACCCTCTAAACAAAGGAGGACAGTTTTTGTTCAGCTTCCTCAGGAAAACAACCCTTCAGAGATTCAAATATTTTAGCTAATTGTAACTTTCTCTCTTCCTCAGAATTGCTTCAAGCTTCCTAAAGTCGGACAAGAACCGAATAGGGAGTATTTACCAGAAGACTATCTACAAGGAATACAGGGACAGCTCATACATGGATGAAGTGACTCAACCAGCATGGTTGGGCTTTCTGGGGCCAGTGCTGCAGGCTGAGGTGGGGGATGTCATGCTTGTCCACCTAAAGAATTTTGCCACTCGTCCTTATACCATCCACCCCCATGGTGTTTTCTATGAGAAGGACTCAGAAGGTAAACCAGTCCAACCTTTATTTCTCAGATTTCACAAAAATAACATTTTTTCCTGACTATACGGGATAGAAGGACTAAAAGAAAGGAGAGGTTTTTATCACTCATTGATATGAGATGACAAATACTCTCTTCAGAAAAAATATGACTGGGTGCTGGCATCAGTTCTGCTATTCATGCACTGTATAACTTTGAGCTTCAGAAATGTGGAAATATAATCTATCTTTTATGACAAGAAGGAACCCTGGTAGTGTAGTGGTGACACATTGAGCTGCTAATTGCAAGGTAATCCACTCTGTGGAAGAAAGACAGGACTTTCTACTACCATATAGAATTACAGTCTCAGAAACCCACAGGGTCAATTCTACCCTTTTCTGTAGGGTGACTATGAGTTGGCATTGACTCAGTGGCAGTGAGTTTTGTTTTGTTATATTTTGTTTTGTTTGTATCACAAGGAGTATCCTGAGATGAAATTTCCATAAATTATTTGAATGTGCTTTGAAAATAGTATAGTATAAGGGAGTGTTAATCTAATGTCACTGTCTTCTGAAGGATCTGTGTTTGTTTTCATTTGCTAGTTTGTTTTTTTTTAAAGGAGACAGTTTTTCGTCTGTATCTGCCACTATCACAAGTCCATTGTAATGATGACAACACTGAATAAGGAAAAGAGTGGGAAATCAGAAGATTCTGGCATACACACTAACTACATGCCTGACTTCAGGCAAATGATTTTCACTCAGTTTTGTCTTCCATAAAATGAGGAAGTAGATCAACTGATCATTAAGTTGACTTACAACTGAAATTTTATTCCTATCTGTGTTCTGTTTTACAGAATGAGTGCTTGAAGGAAGGGAATTATCTCTTCTCCTTTGCCTCCATACTACCAGCTTTGTACTTGGGCACTGCTAGATCAGGTCATGTAGCACTTTGCCTAACTACAGCTCCTCCAGTGGCTGCTACCTCTCCACCCATTTTTTGACATAACGTCTGAGATTCTTTGGCTAGATGTTACATGATTCAACATACTTATCAGGTTGCCAGAAGTACTATGCTGGAGCTTATTCCTCTCTTTGCAAGCCTGAACTTAAGTGTCCATATATTAGTCTATTCATGTTTTCTCTATCTACCACACTCCCTCTCAGTGACCCTGTGACTAAGAATGTACTAATTTCATTTTCTAGGTTCCCTATACCCAGATGGATCCTCTGGGAAGCTGAAAGCTGATGACTGTGTTCCCCCTGGGGGTAGCCACGTCTACAACTGGACCATTCCAGAAAGCCATGCACCCACAGATGCTGACCCTGCATGCCTCACCTGGATCTACCATTCTCATGTAGATGCTCCAAGAGACATTGCAACTGGCCTAATTGGACCTCTCCTCACTTGTAAAAGAGGTACATGGCCCAAGAGTGAGCTATGAAATCTAATTTGAGACATCTAGGGCAAGCAGTAATATGATTTAACTATCTATATACTGGGTAGCAGTAGTTCCAGGAATGTTAATCAGCATTCTTGTTTACTAGCAGTAACAAACCCTTCCAGACTCCCTTTGTAGTCTGTTTTTTCTACTTAAACACTATTTTCTAAAACCCAAAAACAATGTTTGTCCTTTCATATTCTTTTCTTATTTCCTATTAAAACTCTAATAATAAAGCAATAATGAAGAACATTAATTAAGACAAAACAGAAGAAAAGGTGTGCCTAGCTGAATTGGTGGTTTTACCTGGGCATTGTGAAAATAGAATTAGCAGGAAAAGGCTTTATCTGATTTTCTATCCTCCTCTTTTTATATTCCTTTCTGAAGAGTACCCCTGCAGCTTGCTGTTGCTATGGACAGAAAGGTTCTCAAAAGTATCATTCTTACTTATCCTAGGAGCCCTGGACAAGAACATATCTCCTAGGCGGCTAGATGTGGACCATGATTTCTTCCTTCTGTTCAGTGTTGTAGATGAGAATCTTAGCTGGCACCTCAATGATAATATCGCGAATTACTGCTCAGAACCTGCCTCAGTGGACAAAGAAGATAAAGCCTTTCAGGAGAGTAACAGGATGTATGGTGAGATGGGAGAAAATGACCACACTGGGACAATAAACACAGAGTCTTCTCTGGACCTAGCATTTGATAGATGCTTTAACACACCTGGCTCTTTTAAATTCTCACGAGGACCTCCAACGCTGATATGTTTAACAGGCTGTTCTTATTCCATTAAGCTACCCTTCCTTAAAATGTAGAGTGGCTAAGGCTGTTGATTAAAAAATCTATAAATACCCTATAAATACAGTCACTTTGGTAAGGGTTGTCTACTAATATAATTATTACTGCTTTGTTCTAAAAAGAATGCAAAGTGGAAAACTTGAACACTTTTCAGGAAGAAATTGTTGCCTATTATCAACCATCCTACTCTAGGCTTATGTCTATAAGAGACTTGACCATCTTAATTAAATTTAAAGCAAACCTGAACTACACCCTGAGACATGAGCAGGGAATAGCTCTTAGGCAGAGAAAAAAAGTTGATTTGTTTTTGTTTAATTAAGGGAGTAATTTACTTCTATTTGGTGACAGAGTTAAATTCAAACTCAGACAGTCAAAAGTGAAGAGAAAATTCAGACAGTCAAAAGTGAAGTGAAAACTCAGAGAGGAGATGGAGGATGGATTTTGAAGTTCAAATTTCTCTTGGATTTTTATATATATTGCTTATAAGAGTCATGATAATTAGTTAACTTGACAATTTTTCAGTGAAAATTTCAAGGAAACAGGCCTGAAAAGAAAGAACAACTTACAAAATAAATCCTAAAGAAGGTTCCATATTATTGGGACTGAATCTTGGTTTTACTACTTAAGTTGGAGTTTTCTCATTAAACAGAAAAAAAGAAAAATATCTGTGTTTTCCAGGACAATTTGTAAAATTCAAGGGAGATCATGCATATAATCAGTATAATATCCACGTTTAAATCTCATATGAATCGTATCTATTGTCAAGTAAGTATTTTCCCATTGAGAAAAAATGTATTCTGATTATATTTATTCGGTTTTTCTTTTGCAGCAATAAATGGCTTTGTCTTTGGGAACTTACCAGAGCTGATCATGTGTGCACAAAAGCGTGTGGCCTGGCACCTGTTTGGCATGGGCAATGAAGTGGATGTCCACACAGCTTTCTTCCATGGACAGATGCTAACCATCCGGGGCCACCGCACTGATGTGGCTCATGTCTTTCCAGCCACCTTTGTTACTGCTGAGATGGTGCCCCAAGAGTCTGGCATCTGGTTAATTAGCTGTCAAGTAAATAGTCACTTGCAAAGTAAGACCCAACCCCTTTGATCTTTGGGGTAGAGGAGGGAGGTAGCTTGGAGCCATCAGATAGGTCTTTCAGGTAAGGAATATTGGTAAAAAAGAATGAAACTCTAGACTTCAGTTATATCTCTCTGGGTTTCTTCTTTTTAATGTCTAATACACGATATTCTGTGAATGGAAACTAGGGAGCTCTGGTGGCATTGAGCTACTAACTGCAAGGTCACATGTTCATTCCCTCCACAGGAGAAAGCTGCATCTATATATATATATATAGATGTTTGTGTATATATATATCAGAAACCCAAAGGGGCAGGATCCCTATGAATTAGAATCAACTTAATGGCCTTTAATTAAAAAAATTTTTGTGATAACTGTACATATAACAGAAAGTTTGACATTTCAGCCATTTTTAAGTGTACAATTTTGATATTAGTTACATTTATCTTGTTATATTACCATCATCACGATCTATTTCCAAAAGTTTTACATCACACCAAACAGAAACTCAGTATCCTTTCAGCAATAATTCTTGCTCCCTCCTTCCCTCTGTCTCTGGTAATGGCTAATACAGTTTTGTATCTATGCATTTGCCTAGTATAGATATTTCATAAGAGTAAAGTCTGATTTATTTTACTCAGGAAAATATTTTTAGAGTTTATCCATGTTGTAACATGAATCATATTTTTTATTTATGACTGAATAATATTTCAGTGTGTGTATTTATTGATTTATCTATTGATAGACACTTAGGTTATTTCCACTGTTTGGTATCTGTTTGAGTCTCTGTTTTCATGTCTTTTGGCTATTTTATGTACCCAGAAGTGAAATTGCTGGGTCATGTGATGTTTTTGTTTAGGTTTTTCAGGAACCTCCAAAGCAGTGGCACCATTTTGCATTCCACCAGCAGTGTATAAAGGTTCCAAATTCTCCACATCCTTGATAAAACTTATTATATTACTTTTTTATAATAGCCATATTATTGGACATAAAGGGAAATGGTATCTCATTGTTATGTGGATTTCTATTTCCCTAATGACTAATGTGCGTTTTTGCCATTTGTATACCTTCTTTAGAAAATCGTTTACTCGTGTATTTTCTCTTTTTTATTTTGCTCGTTTTTAAATTTGATTTTTAATTTTTTTATTGTTGAGTTGAGGGACTTTTTCACACTCACACTTTCAAGATATTAAACATTTCCCAGATATATGGTAACCTAATGCTTTCTCCCATGCTGTAGGTTGTCTTCACTTTCTTCATAAAGTCTTTTGATACACAAACATCTTTTCATTTTGACAAAGTCCAGTTTTCACCCCTCCCCCCGCACCCCATGATTTGGTGTCATGAGAATCCATTACCAAAAGAGGTCTTAACACTCATATTTTGCACCAGGATTTTTTTCAAGTATTTTATGGTTTGAATTCTTAGCTACCATTCTATGGCTATTATTTAGTGCCATAATAGCACAGTGGGCTAAATATTGGGATGCTATCCACAAAGTCAGCAGTTCAAACCTACCAGCTGCTCTACAGGAGAAAGATGAGACCATCTTGTCCTGAAGAGATATATAGTCTCAAGTAAAACTAAAGAATAGTTTTACTCTGTTCTGTAGGGTCACTGTGGGTCAGAATTTACTCCATGGCAGTATGTTTTATTTAGGTCATTTATCTTCTAAGTTAATTTTCACATATGGTATATGATATTAGTACAACTTCAAAACGAGTTATCTTAATCATTTATTTAAAAGCCCGTTTTCCAAATTCAAAAGAATGAAGTATGGAAAATCAGTCAGTCCTCTATATATGGCTTATTTTCTGAACACTCCATTCTGTTCTAACCACTTGCCTGTCAATTTGTTGTATTGTGGTAGGTTACATGTTGCTATAATACTGGAAGCTATGTCACTGGTGTTTCAAACACCCACAGGGTAGACCAATGTGAAAAATTTCAGCAGACCTTCCAGACTTAGAACAGACTACAAAGAAGGAATAGACTGTCTAATTCTAAGGAATTAGCCACTGAATACTGTGAGACAGTGTCAGATACTGAAAACCTCATGAATAGCAGAAGAATATTGTCAGATTTAATGTCATAAGATGAGCCCCCCATGTTGGAAGGCACTCAAAATATAACCGAGGAAGAGCTATCTTCTTAAAGTAAAGTCAACCATAATGACTTATATGGAGGAAAGCTTTCAGGACCATCATTTGCTTGTGGGACATGACTCAAAACGAGAAGAAAAAGCTGTAAACATTTATTATTAATCAGAATTTAAAATGTACATAGTATGAATCTAGGAAACCTGGGATTCATGAAAAATGAAATTGACCACATGAAGATCAATATCCTAGGCATTAATAAGCTGAAATGGACTGGTGTTGATATTTTTGAATTAATCATATGGTTTTATATGCTGGGAGTGACAAATTCAAACAGAATGGTGTTGCATTCATCATCAAAAAGTATATTTCAAGATCTATCTTGAAATACAATTCTGTCTATGATAGAATTATATCTATCGCAATCAAGGAAATCCAGTCAATACAATTAATATTAAAATTTATGCACCAGGCACTAAAACTAGTGATGAAGAAAATGAAAATTTTCACCAAAGTCTACAGTCTAAAATTGATAAAGCATTCAATCAAGGTGCAATGATAATTATTGTCAATTAGAATGCAAAAGTTAGAAACAATGAAGAAGGAACAATAGTTGGAAGATACAGGCTTGGTGATAGAAATGAAGTTGGAGATCAAATGATAGAATTTTGCAAGATCAATGACTTCTTAATCACAAATGTATTTTATAATAACATAAATCATAATTATACACAGAAGCAAATTGACTACATCTGTAGAGGGAAATGATGAAGTAGCTTAATATCAGTAGCTAAATGAGGGTAGGGTCAAACAGACAATTAATTGCTCATATGTAAGTTCAGGTTGAAGTTGAAGAAAACTAAAACATGTCCACAAGAGCCAAAATACGATCTTATCCCTCCTGAATTTCGAGAACACTTCAAGAATAGATTTGACTCATTGAATTTTTAATACAGAAGACCTGATGAGCTGTGGGATGGCATTAAGAATATCATACATGAAGAACACAAAAAAAGGTCATTAAAAGACAGGAAAGAAAGAAAAGATCAAAGTGGATCTTACTCTAAACTTACTCTAAACACTAAAACTTACTCTTGATCATAGCAATGATCAAAAATGGAAGAAATGGTGGGTCATAGTGTTCAACAGAGCTCAAGAAGACAAATTATTATAATGAAATGTGCAGAGACCTAATGTTAAGAGACAGAATAAAGACCACGATCAACACATCTCAAGCTGAAAAATTGAAGAAAAAATGCAAGCCTTGAGTTACTATATTAAAAGAGTCATTGGACAAAATAATGAATGATATCAAAAGCATGAAATGATTATGGAAAGAATACACAAAGTCATTGTACCCAAAATAACTAGTTGACATTCCACCATTTCAGGAGGTAGTATATGAACAAGAACCAATGGTATTGAAGGAAGAAGTTCAAGCTGCACTGAAAGCATTAGCCAAAAACAAGGGTCCAGGAATTGATAGGATACCAATTGAATGTTTCAACAAGATGACAAAGCACTAGCAGCATTAACTTGTCTATGCCAAGAAAATTAGAAGACAGCTCCTTGGACAACTGAGTGGAAGAGATTCATAATTATACTTGTTCCAAAAAAGGTGACCCAACAGAATGCTCAAATTATAGAACAGTATTATTGATGTCACATGAAAGTAAAAAGTTGCTGAAAATCATCCAACAACAGTTGCAGTGGTACATTAATAGGGAGCTGCCAGAAACTCAGTCCATATTCATAAGAGGATGTGAAACAAAGGAGATCATTGCTGACTTCAGATAGATCTTGGCTCAAAACAGGGGATGCTAGAAAAAATTGTTTACTCAGTTTTATTGATTAGCAAAATTATTCAACTGTGTAGATCATAACCAACTATGGGTAGCATTGAGAAAAATGAGAACTCTAGAAAACTTCATTGTGCTCATGTAGAACGTGTACATGGATCAAGAAGTAGTTGTGTGAATAGAAAAAGGGGGTGCTGTGTGGTTCGAAATTTAAAAAGGTGTGTATAAAGGTTGTATCCTTTCACCATAATTTTCCAGTCTGTGTGCTGGGAAAATAACCCAAGAAGCTGTACTATATGAAGAAAAATGAAGTATCATGGTTGGAAGAATGCTTTTTAACAATCTCCACAATACAGATGATACCATGATTGTTAAAAGTGAGGAGGAAGTGAAACACTTGGTGAAGATGAAAGATTGCAGCCTTAATTATGGCTTTCAAGTTAAATGTAATAGAAATGGAAAATCCTCACAACTGGACCCATAGGTAACGTCTGACAAAGGGAGGAAAGATTGAAATTGTCAAGGATTTTATTTGGCTTGCCTCCAGAATCAATCAATGGAAGCAGCAGACAAGTCAAGGGACACATTACACTGGGTAAATCTGCTGCACACAGTCTCGTTAAAGTGTTGATCAAGGATGTCACATTGGGGACTAAGGTTGGCCTGACCCAAGATATAGTATTTTCCTTCTTAAAAAAATAAATCATTTTATTAGGGGCTTTTACATCTCTTTTTTAAAAATCAATTTATTGGGGCTCATACAATTCATCACAATACATAGATCACTTGTGTAAAGCACATCTATACATTTGTTGCCCTCATCATTCCCAAAATTCGCTT